AGCACCCTCCAAATTGCAATTAAATTTTTTTTTCCTTTTTGTCTTTTTTCGTGTCCGGCAACGGATCACAACCCTCAGTGTTGCGCCCGTACCGGACCGGGACCGGCAACAGGATCGCAACCCTCGGCGTTGCTCCCGCATCTCTCTCAGCCAGTGAGCGGCCGGTCTGTATGTGGGATCCGAACCCTCGGCGGGAGCGCCGCTGCACTCCCAAGCGGCGCACTGTAGCAGTGCCCCACCGGGCTGGCCCTTAAAATTTTTTTTAACAATAAAAAGGCACAATAAAAAATTTTTCCATTTTTCCTATTTATTACCTATTTCCTATTTATTACTGAATGAACTGTTGCTAGTCAGTGTCTATACAAGGATAGGATCTGCGTGCTGTGAAATGTGTGCTAGGAGGTATCTTTACCACTTCCTTACATCTGAATGACTTTGAAACCTCTATTCATGTAATGTGCCAGAACAATTTGTAGGAGAATGCCCTCTCTAATGCACCTTCACAGGTTTTTCTGATGAACATGAGCAATTTTTCCCCCTTGCCCCCTTGCAAATAATGATCCTTGTAAGGTAGGGTGATATGATTTTTTTTTAAGCTGAAGAACAAGATGAAAGAATCTTACAGGGAGATGAAGGAATTTTTCAAAATTTAACTTTAATTTTTTTAAAATTTATTTTTTAGTTGAAATGTATTGATTGTCCATATTTATGGGGTACAGAGTTATATTTCAATATGTGTTACAATGTGTAATGATCAAATTGGGGTAGTTAGCAAATTCATCATTGGAAAAATTTTTCTTTTCTTTGCGATGAGAACATTTAAGCTCCTCTCTTCTAGCCATTTGAGAACATATAATAAATTATTGTTAATTATAGATGCTACTACTACTGTACACCACTAGACCTTATTTTTCCTATCTAGCTGTAATTTTGTGTCCATTAACCAACCTCTCACTATCCCCTCTCCCCCTCCCCTTCCAGTCTCTACTAACTACAAATTCTACTCTCTACTTCTAAAAGTTCAACTTATTATTTTTTTAGCTCCCACATATGAGTGAGAACATGCCTGTGTTTTACTTAACATTGTGCCTGACATTTTACTTAACACAATGTCTTCCAGGCTTGGGGAACTCCCATTTCAATTCCTGGGTGCAGACTCAGTCTGTTGGTGAGGTCCTGCACTCAAATCAGCCTTCTGTCCCCACCACCTGAAATCCATGGCCCCTATCTCATGTCTACCCTAACTACTACACTCTGCCAGGGGGCAAACCAAACTCCCTACTGGCTTTTAAAAATCTAAGTGGAAATGCAGACTCTTATTAGATCCAAAGTTGAAGAGGTAAGAGACAAAGACACCTTCTTATCTTATTTCCTGACACCTTTTCTCCTGCCCACTACGTCATAGCTCCTTTCAAGTTTTGTGGGCTGGTTATTGAGGCCTTACATAAAACCCAATTTAAGTATTTATAATTTTTCAGCAAGCTAGAGTGCCCTCTTGTGGGAATGTCTAGTAGTTACCCAGGTACTGCAGACCATCTGAATTTATGGGTCCGCATATTCCAGCGGCGCTAGGATGAACACCCTCAGCCACTGCTTTATTTTTTACTCGCCTCACAGGTTTCACAGCCATAGTTAAATTGGAAGGGGTGAAAATATGGTAGGCAGTAGCCAGTGGTATAAGAATACATTTTCTAAACAATATTATTTTCATTTCTCTCTTTTTCTTTTCAAATGTGGTGGTGATAGGGAGTGTGGGGAATGTAGTAATTTCCTAGAATAAGCCAAATTAAAGAAATTACTAGATGTATTTAACTTCACTCACAAAGGAAACATTTATTTGGGTTTTCAAATGCTTCATTGGGGACCTAAATATAGTCCTTCCAGGGATGGTTAAATACTCAAGGACTTACTCTCGCTCGAGTAACAATTATTCAGATCTCATCATAACATAGTTAAGAGCTCTAGCATAAGTAGGCTGCAAAGTTTTAGAACAAAATATACCTGTTATAAGGCAATGAGTACTAATAATAACTTAAATACACAGTTACTTACTACTTCAAGGCATATATTTTTAAAACTTTTTATATGAAAGAATATGAGAGAAGAATATAATGAGCCCCCATTTACCTATCAGACAGCTTCGACAATTGCCAGTTCATTACTGATCTTATTTCCTCCATATCTCTTTCCTTCTTCCTCAGTTATTTAGAAGTAAATTCCAACTGTTATATCCTATCACCTATAAATATTTCAGAAGGTATCTCTAAAAGATCAGAACTTCCCGTTAAAAATATAACCATAATATTATCATATACAAAAAATTAACAGCAATTCATTAATATCATAAAATATTGAGGTAATATCCAAATTTCTGTCTGTGGGAAATTTTAATCTATGTGTTCTCTCTCTCTCTCTCTTTCTTTTCCCATATTTTTAAGAAACTGAATCACTCGTCTGAAGTTATTACAATCCGTATTTATCTGAATGTGTCATTTTGGCATTTTACAAGGAGTACCTCTGTCCTGGTGTTTCTTTTAAATGAGTCGTTAGATCTAGAAACAGATTCAGGTTCAATGACTGTTTGGCAAGGCCTCTCCACAGGCAGTGAGGCAACATGCCACCAGGAGGCACAGTTGTCTCTTTTTGGGGTATACACAGGTGTTGATGGATGCTCACTGCATTGATTCATTAATGAACAAATGGGTGCAAAATGGTGATATTCTAACTCTGCCATTCCTTCTCCTTTTATTAGTTTTTCACGCTTCTTTGAAGAAATTTCCCCTCATCAATTATTTTGTTACTTTAAGATGCAATTTGTGTAAAGAGGCTAGAAAAATGCTTGACTTTTCCTAACCAGATTTCAAAACAATGAGTTGGTTTCCTAACATCACCCAAAAGTGACAAATGAGTTTTTAAAAAAATCATTTTGAATTTATGTATGTGAACGTACTTGATATTTCTTGACCCACTGAAGTCATTATATTTATTGATGCTCAAATTTTTTCACCTTTGACCAGTGGGAGCCTTAAAGTTGGCTCCTGAATCCTTTTGACATTACCCTACTAGTCTTTAAAAACTTCCCTGCTTTCGGGCCGGCCTGGTGGCGCACTACTACAGTGCGCCGCTTGGGAGTGCGGCGGCGCTCCCGCCGAGGGTTCGGATCCCACATACAGACCGGTTCCCGCTCACTGGCTGAGCGAGGTGCGGGTGCAGCACCGATGGTTGTGATCCCGTTGCTGGTCCCGGTCCGGTACGGGCGCGACACTGAGGGTTGCGATCTGTTGCCAGACATGAAAAAAGACAAAAAAAAAAAAAAAAAAACTTCCCTGCTTTCTAGTATGACAAGATGTCCCAAGATTCCTTTACATTCCCTAACCGAATCTGAAATTAGCTGTTTTTCTAAGACATTGGTTCTCAAAGAGTGGCCTGGGGACCCCTGGGAGTCACTGTGGTCCATTCACAGAGTTTGTGAGGTCAAAATTATTTTCATAATAATATTAAAATGGTATTTTCCCTTTTTAACTCTCATTTTCTCACATGTGTGCATGGGATTTTCCAGAGGCTACATGATATGTGGTATTACGACTGAATACAGAAGCAGTTGTAGGATTCTGGTGTCATTTATTAAGCCAGACATTAAAGACATTTACAAAAAGGTAAAACAATGGCATTCCTCTAATTTTTGTTAATGGGCATATTGCTATTTTTAAATGTTTTAATTTCTGATGCAGTAAACATCAATAGGTATAACCCACATAAACAAACACTCTTATGGTCCTCAACAATTTTTAAGAGTTTAGAGAGGTCTTGGGAGTAAAACATGTGAGAACTGCTGCTTCAAGGAGCCTGGTTCCTTTCAGTGGAAAATGGTATTTAGAAGATCACAACCTAGGAACTAAAGATGCTTTTGGTTACTGTACGGATAATGCGATGATTTGAAGTTAATTGGAAGTATGTGTCTTTGAGATTATCCACCAATTAGATCAGTTAGATCCATGTGTTTTATTTTACTTTTGATTTTAGGGATTGCTTTTTGTAAATTTAATTTTGTTTTATAATGATATGAAATATTTACTTCTAAAGTAAAACCTATGAAATAAGATATATTAGAGAAGTCTAGCTTCTATTCCTTTCCCTCCCTTATAAGTAACATTTTTTAAAAAACAAATCAATTGTTGCCATTATTTTTTAAATTTAAGCAAATATGTATATATATATATTTTTAGTATTACCACAACTCTCCTCTTTTTGGATAAAGGTAGCATTATGTATATACTTCTTGCCACTTAGTTTTTTTCACTGAACAATGCATTCTGGAGATCACTCTTCAGTTATACATAAAGTTTTCCTTATTATTTTTTATGACTGCATTAGCACTCCATTGCTTTGTTATACCATAATTTATTCAACCAGTCCTCTATTGAGATATTTTGGGGTTATTTACAGTATTTTGCTATTATAGGTCATGCTGCAGTGAATAGTCGTGCACACCCTTTCTCGTTTACGTCGTATCTTCGGGACAGGGTTCTAGAAATGGGATTGCTGGGTCAAAGAGTGAATTCATCTCTGTAATCCTGCTAAATACTAAGCTACTCTTTTTACTTCCGCTGTAGCTGCTCAAAGTCACTTTACCAGTTACTACCAGGGTGGGGACTTGAATTTGGAAGTAACTGTCTTCACGACTCTCTAGGTCAAGGGAAGAGGAATTCCAAGGTGGGTGAGGAAAGCAAAGAATTCTGCATCTGAACATCACATTCACTGAAATACACATTCTCATTCTTCCACCTCCCAGTACACAAGTTCTTCCTCCTTATCGGAACCTCCAGTCCTCTGAGCTCCCATTCTTCCTTCTTATGGGTCATTCCCCTCCTTACCCCCGTAACTAAGGCCTCCCGTGCCCCACTCGTAATCCCGGCCCGTAAACCGGGGTGGAGGGCTTTGCGCATGCCCGGACATTGCTTTCCTCGCGAGACGTTTGGAGCCGGGGCAGAAACAGGACCGGGGTGTGACGCCATAACCGCGCGCCGCTCCCAGGTGTTCTCGCAAGGTCGCTTTGCGGGGCGGAGGCGTATGTAGGTGACTAAACCCTAGTTTGGGGTCGCGCTGTGTCCTTTTGCCTCTGTGTCAGCGGCGACATGTCGGGGTACACGCCAGATGAGAAACTGCGGCTGCAGCAGCTGCGAGAGCTGAGAAGGCGATGGCTGAAGGACCAGGAACTGAGCCCTCGGGAGCCGGTGATGCCCCCGCAGAGGACGTGGTCTCTGGAGAAATTCTGGAATAAGTTTTTGCAGGATGGGACCCCCTGGAGGAAGTTGGTGAGTGACAGACCTCGCCGTCCCCAGACACGTCCCCCACCGTGACTCCCAGCCCGGTCGCTAAACGTCCGGTCATTGCAGCCATACCAACGACTGACACTGTTCTGCACCTGCAGATCTCCTTACCGAAGAGAGAATCAGGTTCAACAAAGACTTTTAAGTCTAGCGAGGACGCTGTCTTGTCCTGTGAGTCCTGGGCTGGGAGTCAGGAGTCCAGAAGCATGTATGGTCTTGGGAGAATCGTGCCCTTTTGCTGTCAAATGTGATGAGGACCCGAATCTTAGGTTTTACAGGACGCTGCACGTTTGGTTCTTTCGACTGTGGTTATCTTCCCGCGGAGTAACAGTCTTAGTATTTGAGGATAGTTGTCTAATTTGTAAGGTTGAGATTATACAGAGAAACTTACACTGCACCCAACTACCGGAGGCCACAGTGAGCCCCTTAGCTAGTAGTACAGACTCATGTGGTCGCCATAAAAGACAGGGTCCTGGTGAGTCATTCAAGAACCACCTTTCTAAACCTCCTCTATGTAATTTTAACACACTGTTTCATTAAAAAATGACATTCCTGGACTTTGCTGTGCAGAAAATCACTCATTCAAGTACTGGTCTTTATTTTCAGTGTCTCTGGGTATTTTATTGAAGTCTTAATTAAATCACATCAATTATGGGTGATGAATACATCCCACAATTGCTTTCAGTATCTACAACATTGGCTAATGATAATAATAATAGTAATAAGAAGAAGAAGAAGAAAAAGAAAAAGAAGAAGAAGTAACACTTGAGTGCTTGCTATGTGCATGGCACTTTCATGAGGATTTTACAAGTGTTACTTCATTTCTTTACTCCTATAAGGTAGAAATTTATTTCTAATCCTCATTTTAAATGCGAGGAAACTGAGGCCTACAAAAATTCAATGACTTACTATGGTCATGGAGTTAAGAATTGAAGTTTAAGTTGAAATCCACATGTATATACTTTCTATGTTACAAAGTCTACTGCAACAGAATTGGTGCAAATTTTTCTGAGAAAGTGGTATTAGATACTTACTTATGGTGGTAAAATTAAACTCTTTAATTCAACTTTTCTTTGACCCTTTGTATACTTCACTTTACCTGTTGACCTTGGCAGTTACTGATTGAAAGATGACATCCCACCCATCAGCCAGTGATCTAAAGAAGTAAATAATCATTTGTTTAAATCCATCTTGTCTTACTTTCCTTTTTGTCCTTTTTTTACTGACCGGTAACGGGATCGCAACCCTCGGTGTCGCGACCGTACCGGGGACCGGCAACGGGATCGCAACCCTCGGTGTTGCGCCCGCACCGCGCTCAGCCAGTGAGCGGGAACCGGTCTCCACATGGGATCCGAACCCTCGGCGGGAGCGCCGCCGTGCTCCCAAGCGGCACACTCTCCAGTGCGCCACCGGGCTGGCCCTATCTTGTCTTACTTTGAGTTAATTTTTTCTTCTGTAATCATGTCTGTTTTAATACTTAGACTTTAGATTGTCTTTTCCCGGAAAAGATAGGTATGTTTTAGTCAAATTGGCTGCCACGTAAAAATTCCATTTTTAGTTCTCTTTTGTCTTTCTCTTTTAAAATAGTATATCAGAAGACATCTCAGAGTGAGCTTGGAACCCCTATCTCAGTATGTAAAATGTTCTTTTTCCAGCATCAGTGTGCTCAAGAGTGTCTGCTTTAAATTTAGAATGATGTAAGTGGTGTTCATTGTGGGTATCTGAAATTGATAAATCAGGAAGATGACTTTCACCTGAAAAATTCTGTAGGTTTATTACTGTGTTAAATCTGTTAAAATTATTCTTTCATTATTTATGCCATGTTTAATCTTTAACAAACTTATGAGGAAACTTTCAGAAGTCTTTCTTAAAAAAGATATATTTATAAATGCCTTACTACAGTCTCACAAAATACTACTTTTTTTTTTTTTCCTTTTTGTCTTTTTTCGTGTCCGGCAACGGATCGCAACCCTCAGTGTCGCACCCGTACCGGACCGGGACCGGCAACGGGATCGCAAACCTCGGTGCTGCGCCCGCACCTCGCTCAGCCAGTGAGCGGGAACCGGTCTGTATGTGGGATCCGAACCCTTGGCGGGAGCGCCGCCGCGCTCCAAAGCGGCGCACTGTAGCAGTGCGCCACCGGGCCGGCCCACAAAATACTACTTTTAAGCCTCGTTTGCTCTGGACTATGTAAGTATTCCCTAGCAGGTCCTACGTTTAGCAAAAATATTTGAGTGGATGAGGTTAGCTACAGACTGTAAGAAAATATGTACCAGTTAGAGATTTGTAAAATAATAATAACATTGTTAAATCATCAATGCTTTTTTTTCTAACACAAACATAAAAAAATGGGACATCTGTTTATTTTGTGTCCTTTCCCCCCAGGTCTATAAGACATACTATCACAGTGTCTTTGCTTTTACTCGTGTACTTGTACCTGCTTGGATTGTTCATTATTATTGCAAATATCATGTGACTGTAAGTATGTTTTAAGTATTTGCTTTTAGAATTTATTTTTAATATTGTTCAAAATTATTTTGTATGTGGGTATGCTTTATCCTGCTTTTTTTAGTGGAAATCTGCCACTTATAAACTGATTTTGTACTGCTTTGAATTCTTTTAGGTAAAAGGTTTAATGAAACTTAAGAATTTAAGTATGATTTTTCAAAAAGTTAGTCCTTATATTAATTTACAACTTGAAATGCATTTCCTCATAGAAATGTGAGAGTACTTCTGAAAGTTCATGGAAAAATAGACCTACAAGATAATACCAATCTTTCCATGAACTTTTCTAAATGCACTCATAGTGCTTAGACAATCAGAATACCACTATAAACTTGGGGTCCTGAGTAGGAAGGGAAAAAAAAGAATTTCTGCTCCTTTTTTTGAGCGTAGATCTGGTATAAGATAAAATTCAAAATAGACAAAGGTTATTTTTATCATTATCCTATTTGCCTTTCCTTCATTTTATCTGATTTTCCACAACTTTCTTTAGAATAAAGCTATCCAAAAGCTTGAACTTTTCACTGAAAGATCTTGCATGGGCTGAACTGAGCCAGTTGCCATGTTCTAAAGGCTAGAGATGGCGCAGTCTGTTGCGGCTGTTGGATCCCTGGCAAGATGAGGAGGGCATGCATTTTGAGGAGTGGCATGGAAGGGAGAGCAGCCGTGGCTGCCCAGCATGGAGTGTTGGAACATAGAGTGAGGAAGGCATTCTTCTACCAAGTAACCTGAGTAGGTTGTGGGGTGGGAGGTGAGCAAACCTGTTTGGGGAGCAGCAGTGGCAGCAACCTGGTATAGGATGTAAGAACCTGAGCAGAGGGAGGAGGACATCTGGAGGAAGGGTAGTGTGGGGTATTGATGGAGGTGACAACCTGGAGTGAGATGTCAGAACCCAAATGAGGTGAGGAGAGTATTCATACTGGGGTGTGGTGGTGGTGACAGGAGATTGGTTCTATATAGGGAGATTGATCAAATAAGTACATATGTTCATGATAATGGGACCCTGGATTCTCACTATTAGAAAAGATATGTGTTTGAAAACAGAAAACCTTGTGGTGCTAGGATGGAACTGGAGATATTGATTTGAACTCATAGTTTTTAATATGTATTGATATAAATATAGATATGTGTGTGTGTATGTGTTTGTATATGCATCTTCCCATGCTCTGTCCACTAAGTGGGCCTGGGGGCAGTGATACATCTTAGTAATTAGCACATCTAGCAGCCAAGTCTTATTTTCTGAAGACAGTTCTCTGTTGGAAGGAACCAGAACACCAAGGAGAAATGGCTGATTCCAGGACTGGAACAGGGAAAGTACAAGATGAGCTTGGAACATATTGTGTCAGGAAGTAAAGAAGTGTTCAAAGAATGATGGGGACATGTCAAAAGGACAGAGCCAGCTTAAAAGGACTCCCACAGGGACAATTTGAGCTTCAAAATAAATGATAGTAATAAACGAAAGTCAACTGAATAAATAAATGAAAATCCATGAGTACAGACAGATATAAATAAAATTAATAAATGGATAAAAGAGAAAACTTTTGTGTGTGTGTGTGCAATAGATTGCTAAATAATAAATGGACAGGGTATATAGAATTGGAAAAATCACATTTGAGAATTGTCAGTAATATTTAATTAAGCCAAGGAACATCAAAGGGTGCTAAAACTTATCTTAATATACCTATTTTCAAAGTATTTATTTGTTACAAAGGGAAAAAGAGTAACACTGTAGTGGAAAAATCTGGCAGACACCACCTTAAGTCAAGAAATCTAAATTGACTTTATCAATAATGAGACAAACTAAATTATGTACTACTTCATAGGTTGCAATAAGAAAGTAGCATCAATTTTGTGATATTCCTGCCCAAAGTGCATAATCTGAATCTAATAATGAAGAAACATAAAACAAACCTAAATTGAGAGATTATTCTGCATAATTATTGGCTTGTTACCTTCAAAAGTGTCAAGATCATGAACGTTAAAAAATTGTTCATTTGAAGACTAAAGAGACATGTCAACTAAATCCAATTCTTGATTAACGGGTATAATCTGAGTAGTCAAAAGAACAGAGATGGCATTGGCAGTCAGAATTTTAAAGAGCCTGCACAATCAATGAAGAATAACTTATGTAAGGGGATTCTATGAGAAGTTCAAACAGTTATGGAGACAACTGGTAAAATTTGAGTGGGTTCTTTAGATAAAAGTTGTAATGTATCAATGTTAATTTCGTGATCTTGATGATTGTAGTGTGATTATTTTAAGAATATTATCTGTATTTGTTTATAAACTAGAATAATAAACCAGTTAGCAATTTACTGTAAAGTGATTCAAGAAAAAAATTCTATTTATCATTCTTGCAACTTTTTGTAAGTTTAAAATTATTTCAAGATAAAAAGAAAACAAAAGATAGGGAGAGACTTCCTAACAAATTATAGGTTATCCAGTTGAGGTTTGCTTTCTGTTAGCCTGCTGAAATGATAGTGAAACAAATAACCAAAATTGTTTGGGGTTTTCAGAAAATCCCCTCTAACATGTTCTCTGTTAATTGTGTAGGCTCTTCAAAATTCTGATTGCTGACATCATCTTTGTTCTCTTCACTAAGCAGATTATGTCCCTTGATCAATACGTATGGAGTGCCTAGTATGTCCTCTTCCTTTATTGCTACAGAAGGGATATACAAAACCAAATTCTTGACTTGAAGGAGTTTATAGTAAAGTTGGAAGATAGGTATGGTTTGGGTAAGAGGGGGGAGAAAAATTATTCTAGTCAGAAGGAAAGATATGGAGTCAATAATGAGCATGGCCATATGTACCCATGACTGAGGAAATGATTGGAATAGAAGAAGGTCTCTCTTGATTAGGTAGGCTGAGACCAATTTATAAAAGGTCTTGAAAGCTAGGCAGAAGAGATTGAACTATGTATAGTAGGCAGTAGGAAGCTTTTCATTTTTAAATAGGGGAGTGACTTGATGAATGTAAAATATTGAAGAAAACATAGGAAAACATTGATATGTAGGGTGAATTGAAGGGAGGAAAGCTCTGACAGGCAGATAAGCTAGAGGCTGTTGCAGTTCAGATGTTAGTTGATGAGAATCTGTTAGAGTGAAGATAGTAGGGATGAAAAAGAAAAGTGAAGCTAGGAGACACTTTTAAAGGAGGAAACACCTGAAGTTAGCACTCGATTAACTTGGGGATAAAAACCAAAGTTCTGAGTCATTTCTGCCTGTAACATTTCTAGCCTTGGAAGTTATAAGTAGGGTTTTTGGAGGGGTTTCTGATGATAGGGAGGAAGTGAATTTGTTTAGGAACATGTGCTGCCATAGTAGTTTCTGAAGATGGCCTGTCTTATGTGTTAGAAACATGAGATTGGTTGGGGCTAGTGGGAATTAGAGTTAGGTTAAAATGTTTTCACTTTATAATCCAACAGGTAAACTTTCTGCAACTGCTAAAGGGGGCTGATGATTTATATTTCTGAGGGTCAGAGGATAGTTTATATATCTGTTGTTGATGGGCTTAAAAAAACTTTATGTTCACCTGCAACTCCACAGGCCACTTAATATCATTTTACATCTGTTTTTCCCACTATTTTAGCATGTAAGACCCCAGAGAAGAAAAAATATTACTTTCTGTCAATGAAAGTTTTTTAATATCCAAGAGTGTTTTTTGAGTGCAGAAAGAACTGGTTACAGTTACTTGTAATATAAATTAATACTCAATTCGTTAGTTTCAAATTTAAAAGCCCCCTTTTTTCTTAATTGTTTAAATTAAGTTTTAATATTCCCTTAAACTATTTGAAGTAAAATAAGAACAATCTTCTTTCTTTCTTCGTATTATTTTTGGATTAAGTGAAATTGAACTCTACTGAGACAATTCCACTTACAAACATAAACAAATTCTCTTAAATGCTTTAAAGTGCATTTATAAATTTTATATATTCAATTTTATTTTTAAGTATTTACAGTGCAAATTTATGACCATAAAAAGCAAAATTTTTTTCATTTTAAAACCATAAGTCTAAATCAATTATGCATCTTAACTGGAATCCTAAACCTAAAATGTTCTAGGATGAAAAGAGACTTATCTTCTAGGAAAAGCAAATTTAACAAGCTGCAGTTAGTGTGTTGGCAATTCAGGACATCAATACGGTTGCTTAACTAGGGGATTCACTTTCAGGTAATTTTTTCTGAGCCACGGATGAACATATTTAGTTAAACATTTTGTGTCAGTAGAGGTCCCAAAGGCCACCCCTTTTCTTTATTCTTTCTCTTGATTCAGGTAGGTGGAAGCCTGCATCTTTGATAAGATTGTAGACCGTTTGCTTCAGCTAACTCCTTTACTGTGGAATTAAATTGTACATCTCTCTGAAGACATTTCAATGTCTTCTTGCTTTTGGCCACAGTTCTTAGTAAAGACATTTTAATGTCCTCATATTGTATTCTGAATCTCTCATACCTGTGACTCCAATTCTCCAGGTCTTATATCATGCCAGTAATCTTTTAAATTTTTTTGGTGTGGATGTATGTGCTTAATAAGTACATATTCAGCAAATATTTACTTAGCACCTCCTGTGTGCAAGGCACTGTTCTAAACACAGGGATGCAGCAGATTGAGTCTCTGTCTTCATGAAATGTTTATTCTAATGTTGGAGTCTGGCAATAAATACATAAACAAAGAGGTATATAATGTTATATAGAGAGGGTTATTTTATATAAAGAATTAATACATATATATTAATTATATATTAATATATATATATATTATATAGAGAGTGATATTATATAGAGAGAGTGTGAGATGCCTATGTGATAACCAAGTAGAGATGTTGAGTAAACAGTTGGATATATGAGTCTGGACTTCAGTAAAAGTTTGGATCTTAAGTTAAAATTTGGGATATGATCTGTTTTATTTTCAGAAGAAATCCTAACACCATAATTAACAGAGTTACTTTTATTACAGAAAATACCATATGGCATCGTTGAACGGAAGCCCAGAATATTCCCAGTAAGTCTTAAAACTTCTCTGAGTTTTCTTTTGTTCATTATTTTTCTCTCTTCACCCCTCCACCAAGTGATCATTAGACTAAAATGTTTTTCTTCTTGCTGTCAGTTTAAATGCCTGTTTTGTGTATTCTTGTAAAAAAAAAAAATGGAGGAAATAGGTTGAGGTAGAATTACAGTTAAAAATTGGAAGTGGGCATATTTATTTTCAGTCTTTTTTTAAGACTGTCTTAAAGTGAGATGACGATACCAGCTGTTTTTCACTGGTGCCCTCTTTCATGTTGGGTAAAGGACTATAGCACAAGCCTGAGCAGACAACCTAGCATGGTCACAACTGAATTTCTGCTTTTATTTCCAAACTCTCATTTCCTGTGGCTTTGTGCCTCATTTTCAAGATTGGACTTTAAGCTGTCATCTGTACATTTAAAATCCATTAATGTGTGTTTTAAATTTTATACTTTGAATATGTAAGCCATAATTTTAACTTAAAATGAGTTCTTTCAGTGTTAAGATTACTCAGTAACTAGTTGGCTATTTGGGAGTTTATTGTTTAGCATAGTAAAATACATGTTATAATGTTGACTATTTCTAGTCACAGATCTTGCATGAACTATCATAACTCCAAATTCTATAATTTAAAAAAACAAAGCACAGTGATTCTTGCTTCAATAAAATGACATAGACACAATAATCCATTATCTATTGCAACAAGGGAATTTTAGGGAGAACCACCAAAATTGGCTGACCATCCCAGTAGGAATTCTGATTTAGGAAATAGTAGGGGATTTCTCCTATTATTCCATTGTGTGTAATTGATGTGTGTCAGGGCCTATGTAGTCTCCAAATAGAAAATTATCTTGTTGGTTTCACCAGTTGGGCAATTTATATTTATTTAGTCTTCCATTTATGTGTTTATTATTTATTTATTTATTTTGCCATTATTATTCAAAGGAAAAGGAGGGCTCTCTTCGGAAGACCACATAAGTGATTCTCTAGCATTTCTCATATATCTGTATTTTTTGCTACTGTAGTTCTTTCCTATTTCTGTGCCCCTGACCCCTCTGAGAATCTTCCCTTTTGAGAAACTGAAGAATGTTTATTTGTACAAATGTTTTAGAATAGAATGGGCAGTTAATAAACACCCAAATCTCAGTGGGTTAAAAAAAGTTTATTTCTTATTGACATCACAGACTAGTGTGGATGCTACAATCCTCCTCAATCTTATTGCTGTGCCTCTGGAATATGAGGCTTCCAACATCGTGGTAGGGGAAAAGAGGGCTGGACAACTTGGAATGATGGTCTAAGCTTGAAAGTCACTTACATTGCTTCTCAAGTCATGTTGGCTGGAACTCCTTCTCATTGCCCCAAATACTCCTATCTGTATGCTCTTTGTTATTTCCAACTCCTATGCATGGAGTCCTTGCCACAGTCCATCCTTCTAGTCACCAAAGAGCTCTTTGCTTCCTTCTTCCCACACATATAACACTCTCAGTACCTCCTATAGGGAGAAATTCGAAAGGCCCATTCCATCATTACAGCCCCCCAAAATCCAAAATCTCCAGGTGATACACAGTAGTAGTATCTGTGAGGTTTAAATGTGACTTCTCTTGATTTGAGGATCATTGAACTAAGAAGGCAAGTTAACTGTATTCCCCAACCCTACCCATTGTTAAGTGGTGGAAAAGCACAGCAGTCACTGGTTCTTGGCAATTCTGAAATCCCAGTAGTCAAACATTGTAAAACTCTTAACTCCTATGTGGAAGTTACTAGAATGGGCACTGATTTTGTTTTCTGGAAAGAACAACTTTGTCCATTGTTCTTCTTGGTCCCTGGCTGTATCCATGGGGTTCTTTCTTTTTCATTATCAACCTAGACCACATATAAATGGGTATTGGGAAGCATACACTCCTTAGGATTGTACAGCCTTCAAAATCTGCCTCCTGCTCACAGAAGGCTGAGTGCCAGAGGTTGTTTTAATTTCAAACATTCACAGGCATTTATAGTCTGTGAATATCCATTCATCAACCATCCATTTCCCTCAATATTTGATAGGCATGGAAAGAAAAATACTAGTAGACAGCTAATCTACTTGCTTCTAGTCATGCCGGTATCTGTTCTTTCTATACAGTTATCAATTTCTCTCATTTCTTTGTTCTCATGCTTCTCTTCTCTCAACCCAGTGGCAGTTATGTGTAGGCCATCTGAAACAGACTGGTTCAAAGGCTGCCTCCATTGTGATCTTAGCCATAGGGCTGAGTCCGTCTGTTTACTGAATTTTATTGGGCTTCTGTTGCTCAGAATCTGTGATAACTTTCACTATTTAGGGGTTCAGAAGCAATCTGATTTTCTAATACTACAAGGTCTTGAATTTTTAGATTCTGTCCGTTTTTATTTCTCCTCTCAAATCAGCCACTTCTTCCCTGAGCTCATGTTTCTATAAGTACATTCCCAAGGCAGCCAGTAGTACACATACTATAACTTCTTTTTCACCTACTTTTCCTAGAACCTCAAGTTCATTAGGCAGTCTGTTTCCTAGTTATTATAGGAGACATTTTACTAAATAGTTTGCCACTGCCTTTTGTTTCCATCTTTTAACCTCCAGTGCCTATGTCTTTGCCACCAAACTTCTAAGCCAGTGACACGTAGTTTTGATTTTTATTACAGCAGGATTAGTACCACTTCAAGGCACTAATTTCTGTGTTAGGGTAATGCTAGCTGTGGTAACAAATTGTTTCCAAAATGTATAATGGCTTAAACATAATATGTTTATTTCTTCATTAGATAACAGTCCTGAGCAGTAGTAGGTCAGGGAATGGAAGGGGTGGGAGTGGGGCTAATTCTCCTCTACCCAGTCATTCAGGGACTGTTAAGAGAATCTGTTAGATTCTGACAGAGAATCTGTTATCTTAAACATACGATTGGAACTAAAGCTAAGTAATTTGCCTAAAATTATACAGTTTGTCAATGGAGTTTCCAAGATTCCCACCACTTGGTTCTGGTTTCAAAGCCCTTTGGACCACAAACAAAGTTTGCATTCTGTCTCCAATATATAAGCCAAACGGAAAACTGGTGATTGCTTAACACATTCAGTTGCTGGGAATACATTACCTTCCCAAACTGAACTGAAGGTGTTTACCTACAACTTCTTTTTAGGGCTTCTATTTCTTAGGGCCATGCGAAATAAGGATTATCCCTTTGTCACTTGGAGAACACAACTTTCATGACGTTTTTGGTTACTTTGTTTCTAAGGAAACCTCCTATTCTTTAACTTGTACCTTAAGATTTTGAATACTGGTTGCTCATCTTTAGACAGCTTCTACTTTGTCTAAGTCTCTTTTAAAGACAATGCCAGAACTCAACTAGATTTTCCATGAGAGGGCTAACCGATATGGAACTAAGGAGAACTATCACCTCTGCAGACTTAATATTTTTTTAGTAAATGTGTTTTCATTTTTCTAGGGTGATACAATTCTGGAGACTGGAGAAGTAATTCCACCAATGAAAGAATTTCCTGATCAACATCATTGAAGATTACTTACAAATTTCAAAGGCTTATTATTAGCCCAAGTTTGTTCCTACATTACCATATTTACTGAATATATTTTCTGGAAAAGTGACTTTAATAAAGTTAACTCTCAGAAATGTGTTGTAATATTCCTTCCCAAACATTTACAATTTGGAATTATTTGAATAGTTTAATAATAAGTAAAAACGGGACATGCTAATAAACAACTGGTTATATGGAAAACCAGATGTAGGAAAGTAGTTATATGATAGATGTTTTTTCTTACACAGTACTTTAATTTGGTGTGAGGGTATGCAACAGAGTGAAAAGTTGCAAAAAACAAATATAAGAACAAAAATTCCACACACTTTTGTTTTAAAGGTTTTCTGAGGCATTTTTAAAGAAGTATTTTATAAACTTTATTGGAAAGCTTGTCACTCCATCTATGATCTGATACTGAGAGGTTGTCAGATCTAGGTTGCTTTTAATTTCGTCATTTGAAAATGTAAAAGACTGAAATCTATTTGAAATTTGCATGACTTTTATAAAGGACTATGCAAAAATACATTTGGGAACTTTTTATTATGAATTTTACTTTTAAATCTACGTAGCATGAGGAAAAGAACTGCATTTGCAGAGAATTAAATCCAGAGGAATTACAAATTTTCCTTCATCCCGAAGATTTTGTTTGGGTATTCTTTCGTTAGCTGTCGTCGTGCAGCTACTGTCGATGCATAGATGACGTATCCCCAGGAGATTAAAACAATTGCAAACAGTAGCTAGAAACAAAAACGCAAAAGGACTGTAAAAGCAAAAAAAAGCAAAAAAAAAAAAAAAAAAGTGCGTGGCACTTCCCCTCGCCCCGTGAGTACCATTGCTAAGGTGGAAATGACACAAACCCGAATAAAGGGTTCAGCGGCGCGTACACCCACCCAACCACCCTTACGTAACAAGCGGAAGCTCGTGTCTTCCAGGAAGAGGCGGAGTCTAGGTGAGGGAGTGAAATTCTTAATTCAGGAATGGATTCTGGAGTTTTCTGGGAGCTGAAGAAATAGGGGGCCTTCCGCCTGCGGGCCCAGGTATTCGATACCCACAGGACCCCGCCAGACTCGAGACTTACCACGGAATAAATCCAGTCCAGAGTGCGGCGATTCACTGGCCTCATGGTAAGGAGGCGGCGGCGAAAGCTGCGGGCCCTACAGTAATCTCCTGGGCGGTGGTTGCCGAGCGGCAGCGGCCATCTTTCAGCCGGGCACGAATGCCCGCCCATTAGCTTCCAGGAGCTATTCCCATCGTCCCGGCCGGCCTCTTCCGCCCAGAGTTGGGGGAGGGATCACGTGATCGGGGACCTAGCCCGCCCCTCTGTGTGGGAATGAAATAAACCAGAAAATATGATAAAAATTGCTTTTTTTTTTCTTTCTCCCACCTGGAGAGGTAGGCGTGCCTCCCCAACCGGTTTTCTTTCTAGTTGCAGTTAGTATTAAGGCAGGATAATGTGCCGTCGTGTGCATTTAAAAGTTTATTTGAAAAATAATCCATGTATTAAATATTACACCGGCGTCTAATGCTGGAAGAATTAACGTTTCCCCCTCCTCTGTTCCCACATAATATAGCTAGACTTTCGTATGTTCATCTTTGACTTAAGCAAGAATATTTTATAGAACTGTTATGGGACACTCTCTTAATTGAGCCCCTTTTCAAGAAACGTGTGGTCTGAAAACGCAGTGGCTTGTTGATATTAATGATATTTCTAAGAAACAGCGTGTCACGCGCTACCCTGCATAAATGTACCAGCCAATCAACAAGTGTTTGTTAAGTGCTCATTAGGTGCTTACACCGGCAGTACATGTGAAATATCAATTCCGATGCACGGCCGTTTGGCTCGCGAACGCACCACGTTCCGCTCTAGAATGTTTGCGTGCTCACAGTTGAGGCCCGAGTGGTAGGGTCTGGCAGTGCCGCTTCAGGCTCGGACGTGCCTGGTCTCTACGTCTGATACCGTTTAAATCGGATTTTAACCCCGATTTGGGGGAGTGGGAAGGGACAAAGCCCTCTTTTGAGAGAGAAATCTTATCTGTTTGAGGAAGTTCAGGCCCTGCTGTTAGGTCAGATTGTTTCTCCCCAGACTGGAGTAGATCATCTCCTTCGAAACTCGGTGTTACTTCCCAGCGGTGCAGCCGGGGGTGAGACTCCTTGTAACAGTTCCTTTATGTATACCCTAGAGATAATCTTAGTCACTTCTCACACAGTTTGGTGAGGCTCAAATGCGACAAAGATAGTTTCGATTTTTCCTAGTAAGTCAGTTGCGGACATTTAAGTTGTGTCCCTGTAACTCCAGCAATTAATGAGAAGAGCGATTGTGATGATAGCGACTTCTGCGTCGGAGGGTCGCGCTGCTCTCAGTCTGGGAAGGCAGCGGTGGGGGAGGGCCGGGTCTCGGGCCGGAGCCCACTAAACCCCGCCTTCAATGCGGGCGCCCCTCTGTCGCGCATGCGTTACGAGGGCGGGTGTTGTGTTTTGACCCACCGGGGGCTGGGGGTGGGTCTCACTGTCTGCCCCGCCCCCAGCCTGCCATTGGTGATGAGCATTTTACGTTATAGGGGTCGCAGCAACCGCCGGGGTCTCCGCTGTCTCGCGAGGAGGGTGAAGCGCCCCCGCCTGCTCCCGCTTCTGAGGGTAGGCGGAGAAGTCGCCGGGTACGCCTCCGCGGATCCTGCCGTCACCGACCCAGCTTACTGGGCCGTCGAGAGCTTGCCACGAGCGCTCCAGCCAGGCCTGCGCCGGCATCCTCTGGGGTGGGTAAGATCGGGAACAATGGGGCGCGGGGATCGGAAGGGCTGGGCGAGCTGGCGCTCCCGTCTGGAGCGAGGCCCAAGGCTGAGATCTCGGCGTGAGGGGCTGTCGGGGCCTCGGCAAGGTGGGGGTCTCGGAGGGCGGCTCCGGTGGCGCACCTGTGGATTTGCGCCGGTGGGAGGATGAGGGTTGCGTTTCCAGAAGCGCTCCCGAGGAGCGTGAGCCTAGCCATCCTGGAAAGAGCTCGGTCTCTGGGAGAAGCAAACAAACAACACCGCCGAGTCTGAGTCGTGGCATCGCCACTGACAGGGTGTGTGACCTTGGCTAGTTCCTCTAACCCCCTGAGCCTATCTGTAAAATGAACATGACTATATTTTAGTTCGTTATGGTTATATAATACACACGGTGCTTATCTTAGATACTGGCCAGTGGCAGTTCTCAATCAGAGGAAGCGATTATTATGATGTGACTGTTGGAGTTGACTGTGGAGTGTTCCACGTTCTGGGCTGGGCTTGCCTGCCTGTGGCGACTTCATCCATCCAATTAGTGCAGCTTTCCTCATGCATGGGCTACCAATTCGTAGACTGGAAGGGGGCGGTGCCAAGATGAGGCACATAGTGATTTAAGAGGAAAACTGAATAGAATTTTTGGTAGGTAATTTTAAGGATTGTTTAAGTTAAATTAAGAAACAGCTACCCAAGATTTAATAGTCATGAGGGTTTTAGTGCATGAAATGCAAAGCTATATACAGTCAGCCAAAACCAATTATGCTTATCTGAAATGAATAGCTTTAGAGGGGAATGCTTACTAAGCAATTCTTTTTATTGCTGAAGTTGAAATTAAATTTGATAGGATCTGGTCAATAGATCCTATAACTTTGGTATCCTCTTTTGGAATTGGTGATTAAACTGTAAAATAAAGTTCACTTGTTTAAAGTATATAAAGTATATTTACAGAGTTGTATAACCATCATCATTATCTAATTATAGAATGTTTTCATTATCCCCAAAGGAAACCTCTTTACCACCCCCAAGCAACCACCAGTCTACCTTCTCTATAGATATGCCTGTTCTAAACATTTCATATGAATGATTCATACAATATGTTGTCTTTTGTGACTGAGGTTTTTTTTTTTTTAATTTAGCATATAAAAAGGCTCAACCATGTTGTAGCATGTGTCAGTATTTCATTCCTTTTTATTGCCAAATAATATTCCATTGTATGGATTGACCACATAATTCATTCAACAGTTGATGGACATTTGGGTTTCTACTTTTGAGGTATTATTACTAATGCTGCTGTGAATATTAACATACAGTTTTTTGTGTGGACATATATATATATATATATATATATATATAGTTTTTTTTTTTTTTGACATGTTTTCATTTCTCTTGAGTAGATAATGTAGATGTGGAATTGCTGGGTCATGTGGTAATTCTACTTCATTTGTATGTTAACATTTTAATTTTAGTATTTAGTAATGATTTTGAAGAGGTAATTTCTTATTTCATGATCTACGTGCATAACCATTGTTTGATGTTTCTGATGAATACTATTCTTTGTAGCTAAAGATATTCCTGTGTAGAAATACAAGAGAGAACTCCTGTTTACTCTTTTTAGCTATTATAGAAAACATCATTGGTCATTCTTTAGCCTTATGTTCCCAAAGTACTTAACAGGCTTATAAAACTAGAGAAGGGATGCCTAAGGTTTTACTTTTTAAAAATCATACTTGAGTTTTTAAAAATTTAAACATCAAGTTTACTACCTCTTTCCTATAATAAATTGATTCTAGGTTATAATTTTTATGTGAACTGGAAATGTTCAGTAAACACTAAAATTTTACATTCCAGAAAAACCCCAGATTAAGATAAAATATTTTAACTTGAAATTTACCAGTCTTTTTTCCAAGTCGAATAATCTCTTCATTATATGAAGGGGAAAACTAAAGTCTAGAGTTAATGTGGATTTCTTTGGTTTACAGAGCTAGTTTTAGTGAAACCTGGTCTTTAATCTAGGTCTTCTGATAACTTCTCCAGTTCCCTCCCTACCCTTCTGTACCCCTTCCCCATAGAAAATACACACTGTCTCTGATCCTAAAGGTTTTTATTTTTATGGGGTTTTCCCCCCCTAAGTGGATGGATAAAAAAAATTAAAAGTAGGTGGAAATGTTGAGAAATTTATGCAGTGTTAAGTTTTCAGAGTTTAAATATATTAACAAAAAAGTGGTTAGTATTATGTTATAATTGTACTTTTCCAGACCTGTTAAATAGTTCAGTACAGAGGTGATTTTTGCATTTCCAGTCCAGAAAGTGGAAGACTAGAAATATTTGGGTCCCTG